AATTTAATAATGCTTCTATTTGTTATTTGGGAAATTTATTAAAAACTGCACAAATGAACATTTTAACATCTCACCATTTCTTTTGATTTAGTTTCAACAAGCAGGAAAATAGCACATAGTCATGAGTTGGAATAGTTGATATTTTTGTGTGTATTGATAAAGGATGCAATTTCTATAAGGCCAAGACCTTATGAAAAAAAAACAAAAAGAAAGTAAAGCATAAAATCTCGTCACCAAAACAATTTGGGCATGGGAAATTTCCATTATCGCTCTAAAATCAATGTCCAACACCGATTTTGAAATTTGTGGCTCAAAAAATGATACAGATCTTGCTTATCTATGAACATTTGAAAACGGATGATCTAGATCATAGAATAAAAAAATGGCTCACCTAACACTTAGTCCGCCCAAGGAGGGCTGGGTACATTGTCTAAGACTAGGCAGCCCTTCTGGGTGCTAAGTCCATAAGCGTTCGCCTAGTGCTTAGCGTTGCGTGAGCGCCTAGGGACCCTGCTCAAGGCGTGTACCCAACACATAGCCCTAGGCGAGTGCCCAAGGATTGTGCCCGCTCAAGGGGAAAAATGCCGCTTATGGAGGGGCATTATCGTAGTTTTTTCCCTAAATAAAGGGGAAAAGAGGGCAGGGCAGGGCAGGGCAGGGGGGGGGGGGGTGGTTGGAGTGTTTAGATTTTTATGTGACCTGACTCCTTTTTTATCCACTTTAGAGTTATAAAAATAAGAAAAATGCATATTTTTGCATTTCTATCAGATGGATCGATTAATTCTTTCCTCTCTTTTCATTGCTACCGCTTATATATGTGAACTATCGAATATGGACTATGGATTGGGATGGTAATTATGATAATGGTTATGGACTGTGGAAAATGTGTTATTCTAGGAATGAATTTGTATGTCAGATTATATTTTCTTGTTTTTTTTAATTTGTTATTAATTAATTATCTAAATCTCAAATACTTTGGTTGGTCTTTAGAGTTTGGATTGAACATAAAAAATGTATTAAAATGCCTCAATATAAATGTTTTATATACAATTTGGACGGTTTAGAAAACTGGTCTTGATAATGTCTTACAATATACACTATTTTTAAGACTTGAAATCATATTTTTTCACAACCATAATGTTCAAGGTCGAAACGATAGATTTGAAAGTTTTCTGATGTCGGAACTGCAATTGTCCCTAAGTTTTGAAATGAGGCTTTACTTTTCTCATGAACCTAAGGTTTAATATAGCCTTTTCCATTGATAAATGAGTTAAATGTTAAGTACTTAATACTTGAGAGGTGTTTTGGTCAATTTTCTTTTTATTTTAATTGAGATTCCCATTTAAGGATAGAAGTTTTACGAAAATTGAAGAAAGAGAATCCTAAAGAGAAATTTAGAATGTGCATCTTTATATTTTCTCCTTTAGTAATATAGATACAAAAAAAGTATACAATGAGATTAATTACCATTATACAAAGGGTCCACAATCACCCTCAGCCATTGAATGTGAAATTGGCCAGGAGGTATGTCATTGAATAGGCTCAAAATCCCAATAAAAATCTTTTGTTTTTTTACTCTATGACACACTCCAATTTACCAAGTTTTACATCAATCGTTAAGGATAATCTTTGTACCAAAGGTAAATAATCTTAAATAAGCTCATGTATATATTTATACATGTATTTTAAGTTGATTTTTTTAACAATATAACATCACTAGCTGCATAATCCCCATAATTTCATCAGGCTACTATTTTTATTGGAACAAAACCCTAACCACTGTCACTCTAACCACTATGTTAAAAGATTTATGTAAACAATGAATTAGTTTGGAACAAGTAATTGACGAGCTTTTTATACAACACCACTCATATACGATCTTGATCAGACAGTATAGAATGAACTACAAGTGCAATATATTAATTATGGAAAATGGTTTGATAGGGCTGCAGCCCTATCAAAATAAATAAAGCCTCACCTCATAACTCATCGAAAATTGAGATTCAAGCATTGGAAAATCTTAACATCGATTATCTCAACTTGAATATTACGGTTGTGAAAAAAAAAAAAAGGATTACAACCTCTAAAAATAATGTATATTGTAACAAATTATCTAGACCGCCCATTTCAACCTAAAAATACGTGTTCATAGATTCTCAAGATCTGTATCATTTTTTGAGTTTCAAATTTCATTATCGGTGTTAGAAATTAATTTTAAAGCCATCATGGAGATTTCCATTGCTGAAATTGCTTTCTAGACAAGCATTTTAGATGAGGCATTATTTTCTATTCATAAAGCTTAGGCCTTATAGAAACTTCATCCTATTATTATAGCCTCACAATATGATTGGCGCATGCTTGTAACATTGTACCCAACTCACTTATAGCTATCTGATCAAATATCTGATGGCTATGGATCTTTCCAAACACAAATTATTTGTTTGCAAAGATATAAAACAAGGTTTCATCCATGATCGCAGTGTTGAAAACCAATCAACATGAGTGATTTTACCAGCGAATTTTGCTTTTTCTTGTTAGGGAAGTGGATTCACAGATTAAAGGATATTCTGGGTATGAACATTACTTATTCCACTTGGGCATTAATGATCAAATTTCAATTTTATTTATTAATAGAAACAGCATATTAAGACTACAAGAAACAAATTATTGAGTGGTGACATGGGCTTCATAGATCTATGAATATTACTTATTTCACAAGGAATAGTGATCAAATTTCAAATTTATTTATTAGTAGAAATGGCATGTTAAGGCTACAACAAATAAAATATTAAAATTTATTTAAGATTTGGATAAAACAAAAAAAAAAAAATAGAAGGAAGAGGGGCACTATCCATTTTATTTGGATGAAATCCATTTTATTTGGATGACGTAGATTTAACACTATCTTAAAAGATGTATCATTTTTTTTTTATGCTATCTTAAAAGAATGTCACTTTTTCTCATTATCTTAAAATACCTATCGACTTTACACTATCTAAATGCACCCTTTACACTATCTGAAAGTCCCTACTTCGTCAAGTATGATTGCTACATTATATTAAATGCACCCTTTTACACCAACATAAATTTTTCAATAGGACAACTTTAGTTTATACGAATTATCAAAAAAGGGTTGAAACCCCTCAATATCTTAAAGGGGTAAATATATTTGAAATTATATTTAGAGGTATGCTTTTAAATTGTTTATCTCAATGAGGTACTTCCTAAGGCAAATTATTTCAAAATTATCAAATTGCCCCAGTTTGATGTTGAAAACTTAAAACAATTCTAGATAGTTTGGTAATTTTACCCTTAAAGAGGTACTTATATCATTGGGTCAAGGCCTTTTTTGGGGTAAAATTGCCATAGTACTCGGCTTCCCACATTGTTAAGTTAACATGATATACCTCCAAAAAAATTTCAAAATTATTCAGAATATTCTTATATATGTGTCCACCAGGGGTGGCAATGAGCCGAGCCACCGCACCCAGTAGCATCTGCTCAGCGCCTCACCCAACCCAATCAGCTCAGCTAAGATCAACATAAGCCCCAACCACATGGTACTTGGTGCAAAGGACTCGTCCCTCACTTTTGGTTCTTTTAAAAAACAATGGGATTGCATGCAAAGAGACTATTTAATTTATATATATATATATATATATATAGAGGTCGCAGACATTTTTGTCCTCTAAATCTTAAAATGTACAGTAATAAAAGTGTCATTAATTAAACATAAAGTTCGAAAGAGAGAATTTTTTGAATTTCGTAACTCACCCAAAATCATCCAATTTAATATCTAAACAACGACGAGTGTCATTGAAAAGCTAAAAAATTTAAACCTAAGTCATGCAATTTAAGATGTAAAAATGATTTTGACCTCCCACGTAAAAAAAAAAAAAAAAAAAAAAAAAAAAAAAAAAAAAAAAAAAAAAAAAAAAAAGAAAAGGCCTCTTTGTAGACAGTATAATCCAAGTCTCTCTCTCAACTCACTTTATAGACTAATTTACCCAGATTTGGTTGTCCTAACCCACTACCTTGATAGGGTGTGAGAGAGCGGGCCCCCAACCCCCTATCTTTGTAGAGATAGCGGTGGCAATCAAGTCGGGTGGTTGGTGGGTCGACCCCCACCGTGGTAGGGTCTATATTTTGGACCTAGAGGTTCCGGTCCAAATGTTTGGACCCAATCTTAGGTTGGGTTTGGGTTTGGGTTTGGGTTTGGGTTTGGGTGCAGGTGCGGTATGGAGTATTGAGCCTATTGGGTCGGGTCAGCTCGACCCAATATAAAATTATATAACAAATATATTGTATACTTTTTAGCTTTTTAAATTTCTAGACCCATGTTCGGATTGGGTCCGGCCTGGTCACTTGGACTTGACCCAGGTCTGAATCAATGTAAAACTTGAACTGGACTACCGGTGGCAAGGGGCTGAACCCAGACCCGGACCTGATTAGACCTAAGTAGTGTTGGGGTCCAATTTTTTAACCCATGCCTAGACACATCGGATCTAGCCCTCAGGTCCCTGGTCGGATCTGGGACCATTGCCACCCCTAGCCGAGATCCAAACTCGGACCCCACGAGCCACCCCTCCCGCAGGGAGAGAGGAGAAAGCGTTGATATATACAAAAGTCACAAGCAACCATTCATTTTGGATTCAAACAAGGTGGAAAGGACGAGAGAGAGAGAGTATGCTCAAAAGAGAGAGAAAATATCACAATTGAGAAATCGTACCGCAAAAAATGCAAAACACCACAACAAACAGAGCATCAACTGGTTTCACAGCTGCTCCTCCAGAGAGGACGCTCTGCTCTGTAAACACCCACAATCCATAAACCAAAAATTAGAAACCATGAAGAGGAATCCAGAAACCAAAAATTATAAGAATGGAGAGATAGAGATTTGGGGACTTACTGCACTGAGAAGGATAGCACAAGCATCTGAGCCCAATTCCACAGTTACCATTTGGCTTTCTGCACTCATCGCAGAGCCTTGGAATGTGGTCAGGTATAGAGACAAGCTTTGTGTTGTTTGAATGAGAGGGATTTGCGTTTTCTTGTTTCTGGTTTGTGGGGATCTGGTCTTTGGAGTTGAGGGAGGTGGGACTAATGAAATTGGTTGGCTTTGAAGATGATGATGAGAGAGACGAAGTGAAGATGGTGAGGAGGAGGAGAGACAACGTGAACTGGGTTTTCGACATTTGGTGAGAAGAAGAAGGTAAGGGTTGTAGAGAGAGATGGGATTTGAGTTAGATCTCTCTCTCTCTAGATCTTTAGAGAGAGATGGGAATGAACTTGGTGCCCTCTGTGTGACAAGCAAATGAGGGAAATGTAAAAAGATTGAATTAACATGGATTCTCTCTCTCCTGATGGTTCTTTTCTGTTCTTATCCATCTTCTCAACGACTTTACTTTTGTGTTGGACCCCAGGGAATTTTCACTTTTTCTTATCGAATCATCATTCCTGCGTTAAAAAAGTATGACTATTTTGCCTTGAGCAGCTATCTTTTTATCGGGAATTCATTATTGTACATATTCTCACTTGCTTTTTATTTTTTTATTTTTTTGTTTTTATGTTTTATTTTTATTTGATTATTGAGGGACAAACTTTCCATACTATTTTTTTTTTTTATCACATAAATTCTATCCTCTCCCTTAACCAACCATCCATTCTGAATGGGGGTTAAGATTGTTCTAATCACAATGTCACATCTTTACACTATTTTATTTTAAATTTTTTTATAAATTATTATTTTGGACATCCATTCCTCTATTAAACTCGCACTTATAAAAAATATTTTCAATAAAATAAAATGACCAAAATATCTTTGAAAGTTTTAAGGGGTATTTTGGTCATTATATTTTATCAAATAAATATTTTTAATATTTTTTATAGGTGTGCCCCAATGAGAAGATGGCACGTACTAAATTTCATATTCATACAATTTGTATAAAACAAACTAAAAATAAAATTATTGGAGACATCAGATCTAAGATCAAATGGTGAGTGGCTCTCTTGATCAAAATTGGATGGCTGGATGATAGAAGATGATAGAACTTCTATGCTGTAGGGGAAGCATAGAAACGTTTCCTTTTTTTTAGTGCAATGCTTCAAAACTCGTGATTCGAATCACCAATTCAAGCGAGGAATACGCTGACATAGAATTAGTTATTAGAATGCATCTGTATCAACTAGTTTTGCCCCTTAAATTTTATTATTTCATACTTTTTTCTTTTTTCTAAAGCTTTTTTAATAATTTTTTTATGTCCCCTGGAATCCTTATCCCCTCCCCCCAAAAAAAAAGACAAGGAAAAAAATAAAAAACCTATTTTAGTTTTCTATTTTTCTTATTTTTAGATTGCCCATTCAAATCGACACCCAATTCAACAATCCAACGATCTGGCACGTGTTTATGGAATGAAAGATCCACTCCACTTATCCGGATTTTGAAATAGTACCCCTTTCTTTTTCTTTCCAGCCATGTTCAATTTTTTTTATTTTTTTTTTGGTAATTCTGTGGAGAAGAAGGCTCCTAGCCACTTTTTCAATAGATTAAAAAGTTACATTTTGAAGGTGTGACATTGATACCACAATGTGATAACTAGGTGTGGGGATGCTACCACCACGACCCCAGCCCCTTTCCTCCCAGCCATGTTCAATTACCTCCCAAAAAGTGCTTCATCTTTGGTCTCATCTTTATACGGTAACGTTAAAGTTATTTTAAATACAATTACTATCTACCCCAACTGATGTCTTTAAAGTTTTTAAAATTAATTGACATAAAAGTGGTTTTTTAAATTAAGTTGTCATGTAATTACTATTTACCCCCACTAGAATCATTGAGGCATTTCATGGATGAAAGCTAAGCCTAACCTACATATACTCCCAAAGGTGGAAACAAAACTCTTAGTTATTGGGTCTGGTTTTGAAAAGGCCGACTCATTTCTTTACATGTGTCCTCCCTACATAACTTGTCTTAGACATGGATTTTAAATTCAAATTTTTAGGGATGTATAGTCTTATAATGGGGGATTATGAATGTGAAAAACTAAATTATTTAAAATTTCAAAAATAGTCTTTTATGGCAAAAAGATTTGTACCATTAATTTCAAAGAAAAAGTTTATATGGGGTATCAACCTTATACTATATGAGTAAGGTGCACCTAAAACACCCACTAGAGAGGGTTAGTCCTTGTCAAACACAAAAAGAGGCAGAGGAAAAACTTGTATGTATTGACTATTATCAACATGCATATATAATACAACCGGAGAGATATACCTTGTACTGCAAGTTAACTTGCACAACAAGATTAACTACAATAGGTAATATTCCAATGAAATATACAATTTCTATATATAACAAATAAATATCTTCAATTGTCTCTACACTCCCCCTCAAACTGAGGTTGGTTGAACAACATCAGTTTGGCAATGAGATGGTCATGACGAGCATGAGTCATTGCTTTGGTAAAAATATGTGCAAGTTGTTGTTGAGAGCCAATATGTGGGGATGTAACTTCTCCGACCGGGAATTTTTTACGAATAAAATGACAATAAACTTCCATATGCTTTATGCGATCGTGAAACACTGGATTGGAGGCAATGCATATGGCTCTCATATTATCTGCCTACAATGACGTAGGAGATCGACGAAGAACAGTGAGGTCATGTAAAATACCTCTTAACCAAGTAATTTCACTACAAGCTAAGGACATTGCTCGGTATTTGGTTTCTGCAGAAGATTTCGACGCAGTTTGTTGTTTTTTCCATTTTCATGATATGAAAGAGTCTCCAAGAAATATATATCATTCAGCGGTCGAGCATCGAGTATCTGAACAACCTGCCCAATCTACAGCAGCATAGGCTCGTAACTAGATAGAAGAGTTATAGGAAAAGAATAGGCCTCTATGGCATGTACCCCGCAAATAACGAATGATACAGTGGATAGCCAAGAGGTTGATGCGACGGGGATCTGCAGCAAATTGGCTGACGACTTGTATTGCATGGGATATATCAGGACTAGTCATAGTGACATAAAATAGACTGTCAACCAGTTGTCTATAAAGAGTGGGATCTAGAAGTCTATCCCTATCATTCTTTATATATTCAACGGACTCATATCTTTCATTTTGAATGAGTGACTAAGAGGCTCTTTCAAGTGTTGTATATTGTCAAGGTTGTCTCGTGTGATGATAATATCAACATACAGGAGAAGAATTGTTATCCCTAAAGAACAATGGTGGATAAATAGTGAATAATAATGAGCACTTTGTTTCATCTCAGCATTCAGAATGACCTGTCGAAACAATTTAAACCAAGCTCTTGAAGCTTGTTTTAAACCATAGAAGGATTTCTTCAAATGACATACCTTAGACGTGTCTTGGAATACTCAAGAGGAAGTCGCATATATACTGCCTCTTTCAAATGTCCATGAAGAAATGTACTTTTCACATCCATTTAAGAAATAATCCACTAACAAATAGCTGAGAGGTCAATTACTGTTCATACAGTGGTCATTTTAGTAACTGGAGCAAATATTTCGTCATGGTCTATGCCATACTCCTGTTTGTAACCTTGAGCAACTAGTTATGTTTTATATCGCTCAATCCCTCCATCAGATTTAAGCTTCACAGAAAAACCTATTTACTGCCAATAATAGAGGTGTTAGGAGGGCATGACACAAGATCCCAAATATCATTTTCCAACGAGGTTTTGGTTTTTGCATCCATGGCCTAATTCCAACATAGCATAGTCAAGGCTTGCTGGTAAGTAGAGGGAATATCAACTGAATCTAAAAGGGCAAAAAATGACCTAGAAAGTAAACAAATATTTAGGTGTTTGAAAGGAATCTCAACAGTATCAAGAGAAGAAAACAAAACTCTAGGTTGTAATGAAAACTCAAAATCATCAAGGGAAAAGCCATATCAATCAGGTGGGTGAGTTATACGAGAAGAACGTTGTAACTGGATGGAGTTATCAAAAGAAACATGATTAATAGAAAATGAGGAGGGAAGTGAATCACTTGCAGGTAGTACAGAGGTCTGATCTTGCTCTGGTCGATGAGATGGAGGAGGTGTGGATTGGTTTTGTTTGCCCTACTGTTGATGCACCAAAAGCTGTGGTGATTTATCAGTGCTGTTGACATATGAGAAATTTGGTAAAAAAGGAGTAGAGGACCATGTTGATTTAGCAATGGAATAATAATTAAATGGGCTTTCCAGGAAGACGACATTGCCAGAAACACGTATACGATAAGCCGTTGGATCATAACATAGAAATCCCTTCTCACAGGGACAGTAACCCACAAATATACAAGTGGCAGCTTGAACAAAAAATTGTGTTCTTTCATGCGCAGGAAGATGAACACAACTGACACATTAAAAAACATGCTAGAGAGAATAACCAGGATGAACATGAAATAATGAATAGTATGAATGTTTTTCATGCAAAACTGAGGATAGGAGTCGATTTATGAGATAAACAGCTGTTAATGCAGCTTGAACCTAAAAACTATGAGGAACACAAGAGTCATACGTAAGGGTCCTAACAACTTCCAGAATGTGATGATTGTTTCGTTTAGCTATGACATTTTGTTGTGGAGTATAGGGACATGTTTTATGTGATTGAATGCCCTGAGTTTTCAAATATTCTTGAAAATCATGTGATAAGTATTCTCCCCCCTCAAGAGTCTAGCCGTAAGATTTTTATTTTTGTACCAAACTGAGTTGCAACCATGGATAAAAAGGTCTTATAATAGGAGAACACTTCAGATTTATAGCGCATAAAGTATATCCAAGTATAACTTGTATAATCATCAATAAACAAAACAAAATATATCCCTTTCTTGATAAAATTGGAGCATGACCTCATACATCACTATGAATAAGATGAAAAGGTACAGTTGCTTTATCTACTCTAGTAGGAAAATGCAAACAGGTACTTTTAATCAAAGAACAACTAATACAATATCTATTGACAGAATTTAAAACAAGTGTTTTATTGGGCAATGAACCAAAACAAAATAAAGTATCTAATTTACGTACATTCAGATGACCAACTCTTCAATGCCACATATTCATCATTTATTAGAAACAGAAAAATCGAAATCCAATGGATTAAAAAAAGAACCATCACAATCTGGTTTCTCAAACTCTAAAGCAAATAGATGACTAATTCTACACCACTTCCCTTTCACTATCCCAGTGCGCAGGTCCTGCATTACACAACCATACGAGAAAATTGAACATTGTAACCATCATCAACAAGTTAGCCTACGGATATTAAATTAGCAATTAATTTAGGAACCAAGAGAACATTAGGTAAACGAAAAGGTGCACTAGGGGAAAAATAGAGTTAACGATTATCAGTATCAGTAATTTTCAATTTCCCCATTAGTTGTGAGAATCTGATTATTTCTTTTATATGATTTAGTAGATGATAGATTTGTGTGCACTCCAGTCATATGATTAGAGGCACACGAGTCAAGAAACCCAAAAGGATTCACACTAGGGGATAAGTAAGAGTTCATACCAAACAAGCCCATAGCAGAGAAAACAGAAGAGATAACCGTAGATATAGAGTTTTGTATCAATTGCCAAATATCATCTGATATAGCTATTGTCTAGAACCGTGTCGTATTTGGGATATGAATAGTATTATTTGGAGGGATCTTTGGCTTCGTATATATCATTAGTCCTTCTGATGCACCATTAGCAGCTTGGTATGCCTTGTGAAAAGGTTTCTTTATATCTGATGCCCAGCTGCTGCGCTGAGGACGATCTCGACACTCCTTGATAATATGTCCAAGACTTTTGTAATAATTACAAAAAAAATTCTTCTTACAATAGGATGCTAGATGATCATATTCCTTACAGTCATAACATTGCAACAAAGATGTGTTCTTTTGTAATGGCTTTCCTTTGGCCCGTTGAGCTACAAAGACAGACTCTATATCGTTATTTTCTTCAATGGTAGCATGTGTTACAATTCTCGTCTCCTCACAAAGTAACTCACCCAGAATGACATCCATATTGGGTAATGTTTCGTAATTCAAAATATTGGCTCAAATGATTTCATACTCTGAGTGCAAATTCATTAGGAACTGTATCAGCTTTCTTTCATCAATTATCTCCTTTAAGCTACTAATGCAACAAGCACTGGTGATTGTTGTCATATTTACAGATTCATATTCTGTCCACAAATTCGTAGACCAGCATAATATTCCTTGATGTTTTTCTCCCCATGTCCATATGTAAACATGTCATACTCGGTTTGGAATCGCTTTATAAGATTTGATTGCTGATAAATATTTTCCAGATATTATCACATTTCTTTCGTAGTGTGGAAGCTTCTCATTGGCCTTCCAATATCCATACCCACGGAGCCGAGAATCCAGAAAACAATTTTTGCACAGTTGATCTTCCATTACTGGGTTTCTTTAGTATTTGATGGATCAGGTTGTGGTTATGTTCCATTAATAAACCCCCACAAGCCTTTTCCTTAAACAAAAAATTGAAAACGGAAGCACGAAGCTGGATAGTTTTTCCCATCGACCTTTATAGCCAACACATCTCATTTATCCGAAACCATATACAAGTAGTGTTATGACCCTCAGATGTGATCGAAAGCTTGATCTGATATCAAAACTCAACTTCACGAATTATCAAGATCCCCCCATTTCTTTCTTTTTTGACGTCTTTTCTTTTTTGGAAAGTAGATGGTGTCTATTAAGGCCTGAACATTGCTGGTTTTGGGGTGATGTTGATGGTTAAGAAGATTGTTGGGGGTTCCTATTATCTGCCAAATCCTCAGCTGTAGCCGAGATCAAATCTCGTGCCATTTTTAACAAAAGCTCATTTCAACTAGTTACAGTTAATAATATATATATATATATATGAAGATACTACAAAATGTTTATAGGCAAAAATGAATAGTGATTTCACCTACCCTCATCACCATCCAAACTTCATAGCATGGTTACAGTTGTCCGGTGGTATTTTAATTTTAATTATTTTCTACAAATCCAAATTACTTGAAATTTAGAGCATGTGTACATCTTAGTGAGTCACACCTAATAAAAATATGAAAAAAATAATTCACAAAATATAAATTGATCAAAATACCCCCAAAACTATATGGAGCTATTTTAATCAATTTATATTTTTACGATTTATATTTTTTATATTTTTATTAAGTGTGTATCACTAAGATGTACACACGTTCCAAATTTCAAATCATTATTATTAGTAAAAACAAATTAAAATTGAAACAATACCGGACAACTGTGACCGTGCGATGAAGTTTGGATGATGATGAGGGTAGGCGAAATCACTGTTCAATTTCACCTATAGGCGTTTTGTAGTATATATATATATATATAAAGCAATTAACGTGTGACCGTAGCAGGAGGCTGGCATGGGCATTCAAATTTTAAGTGCATGGCAGGTAGGCTACCATGAGCATTCAATGATATACAAGAGTGAGAAGGGAGAGAGAAAGTGTGTGGCAGGCTGGCATGGGCATTCAATAAATTAAAAGTACCTCAAGAAAAATGAGAGAGAGATAAAAAGAGAAAGTGTGTGGGTGGGATTAATCCCACATTGAAGAGATGAATAAATTCACAGGGATTTAAGAACTATAAAAAGGGTGCGGGAATTTTAAATCAAATACACAAGAGAAATATGTTGGGTTCGGGTCCAGGTCCAGGTCCAGGTCCTTAGTACTCTTTCGAGTATAGGTTTGGGTACAATATTTTTGGACTAGTCGGGTACGGGTCCGAGTATGAGTCCATAAGAATATTTTGGGTACGAGTACGGGTTCAGCATTACCTGACGTGTTGCCACCCCTAGTGATAGTGCTAGTTACTCTCTTTTTTCTTTTCTTTTTTTTTGCAAGCGGTCTATTTGTCTTTAAATCTTTATAAATATATAATTTATACTTGGCTTGAGTAGAGTTCAATAAATCAGCCCTCTTTTTTCTTTTCCTTTTTTTGCAAGCGGTCTATTTGTCTTTAAATCTTTATAAATATATAATTCATACTTGTCTTGAGCATAGTTCGATAAATCAGCCAGTCCAACCGATATTTAAAAAAAAATTCAAATACATGTATAAAATCCCAAAGAATAAGGGATTTATTTGCAATGTGTTGTTTTTATTGTTTCCACCAGTGTTCGCAAAATCAAAATGGGATGGTTAACCGGACATGGGCGTGGAAGCGCTTTAACCGGCCTAGCCAGTAAACCGGATGATTCTACCGCTCCAATTGGGCAAGTCCCGAGCGTCAAAAAAATGTTGAAAAAATACAAATTTTTTTTTACTAAAATATAAAAGCATATAAAGAATGATTAAAACAAAACAAATTCAAATGAAGTTAAAAATTAATGAAAAAAATGAATTTTAACCCATTTTATATTTTTTAAGGGCTATTTTTTAAATTTTCTAAAATAGATGAGAAAATATAAAAGTGAGTATTAATGTCCAAAACAATTTTTAATCTTTACCATAATGTAAAGAATATTTAAAAATACATTACAAATCAAATTCTTTATTTTTGAGAATTTATATACATTTATTTTATTTTATTTTTTAAAAAAATAGTGATTGATCACCCTAACTGCCCAAAACAGGAATCGGCCAGTGGCCAGTTCCGATCTAATTGGGCGGTTAGCGGTTAGATCGGGCGATTTTGTGGACAATGGTTTCAACAAAGACTAGAATGTGTTTTGGCCAAAAATACTTATTTTTCTAATTCCTTTTTTGGATTATTTCTAAAATACTCTTATACACAAATCGACTTTTTAAAACTCATTTTTTTTCATTACTTTTCAATTTCATTTGGATGTGTTTTGTTTAGGTAAGTGATTTCATGCAACATATGTACCATAGTGTAATGCAACTACACTTCTAGATAACCATGTTTATAGTATTTGTATGACCCAAAATTTTCCACACACACTCTCTTCATCTCAATAATCAATCTCATAAAGAAAAAAGTTCAATTTGAACCCTAGATATGGTCAAAATTAGTCCCCTCTAACAACGAATCTAGGCCATTCATTTGGTGAATTTCAAGTTCTTAGCCGTTACAAACTCAAAATTATTTTTTTCTTTTTTATCATTGTTCATCTAATGATAATAAAGCCATCTAAAACAAACGGAAAATAAAAAATCCTTCTAAGACCTAGATCTAAGGATCTTATCAAAATAGACGGTCTATGTTAATTGGGCTAAAAAATACTTTCTAGGTTTTATTTTTAAATTTTTCTTTTTTCTGATTGTTCATTAGAATGAAAAGAGTGTATATTTCAAATTTTGGATCAAACAAATGGCCCTAACATGGGTTCTGAAGATTATTGCCTTATACTATTGTACAACAATTGCATTAGATCACTACCCATTTTGTTTAATTATACTTTAAATATATTTTTTCGGGATTTGTTTGTATTTATTAAATTTTTAATACTTTTTGGCCCACTGGGACCTGTCCAATTAGGCCAGGTGAACCAGCCGGTTTCCAAGTTACTCCGACCCAGCCCTCCAGCCGGTTTCCAAGTTACTCCGACCCAGCCCTTGGCCGGTTTCTGGATCCGGTTCGATTTGTCGAACACTGGTCTTGATGCATGCAACATTTCAATCAGGATGAGATAATTGAGAGTACGGCGAAAACAGCATTACAACTAGCAGTATTTTGTGATGTTGTTGGCTCTATTGCAATCATTAATTCATTCTTTAGGATCAGATGGCTACAAACATAGGTAAATTATGTGGTTTCTAGAGACACTTAGAAAAGCCACTCCTATAAATTAGGACTAATAAGTATAATAAGTAGAGATAAGAGCCAAAGAGTGAGGGAAATGAAGCAAGGAATTTTAAATACAACCAAAGTACTCCCATTATTAAAGGAAACAATTGATCAATTAGACATGTAACTTCCCACTTAGGGTCCAAATAAAGCTCCAAAATGAACCCCTAATCAATCCATTTCTTTAGCTCCAAATATACAACTTCTTTGCAGAATCCAAAATGTAGCTTCAAAATTCTCAAACTTTGATATCAATTCTCTCTTGAAATTGTCTTGTGATATTGCACTTATATTAGACTTTATCTTAAAAAAAAAAAAATGTATATCGCTATGTTCAAGACCATAGACAATTAAGCCCAGAGGCCCAATCCCAATATCATTAGCCTTTCCCGATACAAGATCACAAAATAGGACAACATGCACAACCTTATACTCTCTTAAAACATCAAAGCACATAAGAAACACACTTATTCATAATCACGCAAGCTTTTCGTCCATTGATTTCATGAGAACAGGAGTATAATCAAACACTATGACCTTCTCAATTGTAGCCATGAACTTTCCTGCAAATTCCAAGTGAGAAGGATGTGATGAATATGCCATAAAATCTTCATGGCTCCCAAATGTCAAGATGAACACATGAGTGAAACCTTGCCTCAGGAGCTCCTCTGAACCCACATCTTGTCCCCTGTGAAACCACATTGATTTGATCACAAACTTATTTATACCAGCAATATATTTTGATAGATTTTTGTATTTAATAAATGAAATGAGGTCGTAGGAATCGTGCTTCGACTTGATTAATTGGTTGTTGATGATTGCAAGACTACATCCTAAGTCCGATTTCTACCACTTGGATGGCCAAAATTTTGAAAATACAAAAAAGAAAATGAATTGAATTGAATTGAAATGTAAAGAGATCCTACATTGTAGTTTGTGCTTCCTTTTGGTAAAACTAAGACTTTTGTCCATAATCCTCGCAGTGTTATCAAAACTAGACCGGGACAGCAGGTCATTGGTGAGCTACCGTCAAAGACCATAAACGGGTTCACTTCAATAATACACCAATACTTGAGAACAACCGAATTTTCATGTGATTTAAACTAACTGATGCATTTTATCGTTTTGATTAATTTTCATCAGTTCAACCGGTTTGATGATGGTCAAAATGCTGAACCCGATAAAATATTTTTTCAATTCGGTGACCGGTCCAGTTCTAGCAGCAATGATCCTACAACCCTTATACGCCAGCCACTGAAGCTAAGGAAAATGATAGAAATACAAAAATTGTGTGTAGTTCACATGCAGTAGGGGAATTTGCCCCCAAGAACTCCAGTCAATAGTAACCTCTTAGAAAGCTATTGGGCTAGTACTATTCAAGAGAAAGGAGATGAAATAATAAATAATTAACATGGAAAAAATATTTCTATAAGTCAAAAGATTATATGCTCCTAGGGGAGCATATAATTCCCCTCCCTTAGAAACTTATGTTGGATTATTTTAGGACACCAAATTTGAGGGATTTAACTTCATTAACCTGGCCAACAACATAAAAAGTTGATACTAGAAAAATATCAGACTCAATTAAACATTGAAAAACATAAACCATCCAATTTTTCGACTATCAAATTTAAGCATCAGAAACAAAAAATCTCATTTTATTAATTTTAACACTACTATTCTAGAGTTGATCCTAAAATTTTAGATCGAAAAAAATCCTAATAAGTAGCTATTTTCCCCAAAGGATCTTTTTGTCTAGTAAGTAGCTATTGTCTAAAAAATCCTTATATACAGGATCTTTTTGTCTAATTTTTGTGAGGAGACTGTAAAAGAGATTTAACCAAGAGCAATTCGTGAAAAGATGAATTGAGGTGTCCACTATGTGACTATTAACAATGATTAAAAATGGATACCCATGCATAAATTATGGATACCAGTACTATAAACTCTATTAAGAGGAGATGATATGCCATCTTTCTATGTAACTTGCATGGAAGTTGTTATCCAAGATCTCAACCGGCCATTTCAGATGTAAACGTATCTAGATGGACTAGTGAATCTCACCTTGAATTTCTAGATGGGACCTATCGATCCATTTTATATGCATCATTTCTAGAAAAGTAAAGCATCACTTCAAAACCTAATCTAGGAAACACTTTTCGCATGGGAAATCTCTATGATAACTCTAAAATCAATGTACACTACCGATTATGAAATATGTAACTTAAAAAATGGTATAGATCTTGCAGATCTGTGAATACTTGAAATGGACTATCTAGATCATGTGTTACAATATATATTACTTTTAGAGCTTGAAATCCTTTTTTGTTTTTTACAACCATCTTACTTTTTTCTATAATTCCTAAACTTTATTTTAACCTTTTACAACAACAGAAAAAAAACAGCCCGTATCAGTGAACATAGGCCATCCAGATCATACAATCTCGGCCGTCTAGCCTATAATGTAGTATAAGACAGTCAGGCAGCCCATAAAATCGACACACATAGACACACATAATTTGGAATTCATAACCTTTGAATATATATATATATATATATATACACACACACGCTTATGAGCAAAATTGTACAGTGATTTTGCCTATAGGCTCACTGCTGTCCATTTTTTGCAAACAGTAAGGATGTGGCACCGCAACGGCTCCATATACAC